ATGATCAACTGCAGAGGGGCCACAAAATTAGACAAACGCAAGACGGAAATCAGCAGTAGCTGGTGTTTATTCTGTGATCTTCTGAACCTTTTCTCAGAGCTGTAGGTTGTTTATTTTAGATTTAATATAGCACAAATCACAGGGTTTGTTCAAAATAACCTCACCCCCACATCATGTACATAAAAAGAAATTGCATGGAGCAAACACTGCCTGAATTGGTTAGTTTTAAGCCACCTATAAAAAGGCCCATCAGTATCAGTTTAAGTATCACTATGTTTAGAACATTTTCAGAGCTTTATCTTGCTGTCAGACAGCCTCTTTCAGACGGGGAACTGAAGCTGCTATCTCAAAGCCACCAAACTCCACTGACAAAAACAGTAATTTACTTTGCAGAATATGGGAGGTGCAGGTCTACTGGGATGTTTGTTAAGAAAAGAAAAAATGGAATTAAAAGTATTGTTTCAATTGTAATTCTGTATGATTTGCAGTTATTCTTCACAAAAAAAGTAAAAGAAAAAAGTGTAGCCCTTTATTGCATTTAAAAAAATGCTTTAACGTTTAGTCAGCTTAAAAGTGCTGCACACCTCTACGGCCTGGTGCCTTTTCCTCTAAATTTTGCAAAACATTAATATCAGTGGCTAGTTCTGAGTCTCCCTAGCTAGGTTTGCTATGGATTCCAAATTTAAAAAAGTAAAAGTCTTGAAAGAAATCAGAGGATTTAGTAGTGTGTGGACAGATTAGTTTGCTTTTACCATCAACACTGCTAAGCTAAAGTATAAATAGCCCACTGCAGAGTAGCCACTAGCCAAATGTAGCCACTGAAACATATCAATCAATGCTCAGTTAGCCTTAGTAATTTTGATAGACTAATTTAGACTTGTTAGCCTGTGTAACCCTTTTCTGTATTCCCTATTACAAATGTAATGTATAGGCTGATATTTATTTTTTTAAGTGGGTCTCTTTAAGTGACTAAAATAAGTTTGCTGCTACCCCCCTCCACAGCAGTACATTGTCTAGCTTCCATAATGGTAGATTTAGTAAATCAAAGACACTAGCAGAGCAGCACAGGACATGAAATCAGCACAGCAGTAACGTCAGGTAGGTCGGCCCATCTTATGCAACTATATATCTTTAAAGTTATGGCTGAAGATAAGAACAGAAATAAGCAACTTTTCCCCTTTCACATATATCCACAATTTAAAACAAATGTTGTCTAGCTGGAGGAGTTAGTGCAACGTCATGGTGATTCAGTCTATAGACCTTTTTATTACTATTTTGCTTATTATTGCCTTTTTATAACAGCATTGGCCCCTGTTTACTTCCTGACAGTGACTGCATTAACAATAATTTCAACAGGAATATAAACAGCCTGTTTACACCTCGTATTACGTGATGTATCTCAAGTGATCCAATCACAAGTGGACTGCGCTAAATACAAGTGTAAATGACAACCAAGACACATTGTGATTCAGGCACTTCAACCATTTGGTTTGGAGGTAGTCTTGGACGCATTTGACCTGTCCATTGTTTTGCCCCATGGAGGGAGACCTGTTGAATTCTGCTGACGGCGATGTCTTCAGCTGTACGGTTACATGACTGGCGAGTATGCTAGCGAGCAGCTAAAGAGTGTGGACGTAATAACTGCGCAGGGCCCTCACACCTTTTCGTAGTGACACAGGCAGTAACAAAATCTTAACACAAGTGGTTAGCTAGTGATTCATGGTAGACACACTTGTGAACAGCGATGCATCTCGGCTGTCTATTTATGTTCGCATTACAGAAACACATTAATAGCAGTTATTAAAACAGATTAAATGGACCCATTTAGAATGTTTAATGCTGTGAAGTTAAAAAGGTCAGTGCATAACAGAAAGGGAGGGAAACGCAACTGTTATTAGGTCAGTAAACATTTAATTAGTGAGGTCTGTCATATTGACAAATCAGGCAGGCAGATGTTGAAAGCAACTTTTGTCCCTGCGCGCAGCATCCGTCAGAGCGACATAATGCAATCAGACATCTGAATGCTTCAGTTGTCCTATTATAATTCAATTGAGCAAAAATATTTGGCTCACTCACTTCCTCTGCCTTTACAAAGAAATCTATAGCTGTCTGCATTTTTGTGCCGCGCCTGCGTCTGTGTGTGTGTGTGTGTGTGTGTGGGGTGGGGGGGGTCTATATGTGTGTGCGTCTGTCTTCCTGTTTGTCTTTGTTTTTGTCCTTGACAGAAAGACCCAGAGAGAGAGAGAGAGAGAAAGAGGGAAGTGGTCTGGGATGGAGGGTTGCTTGGTAACAGTTGTGTATCCTGACCAGCGGAGGGAAGCTGTGGAATCTTGCCGAAGCGTGAAAACGAAACATGCAGAGTGACAGACATGAGTGCAGACAGGTACACAGACGGATGGGGGGGGGCAGACACATTAAATATGCATAGAGGCTAACAGCATGCATTGCTGTGTCACAGACATACATACACAAACAAGCTCAGGTCACATGGGGATAATGGCTTGCCCTCAAATGTGTCAATCTTATCCTCACCATACCTCTATTAAACATTACAGCTTCTGTATGAAGTGGCTCATGTAGACACGCATTCAGATATTTGTACAGAAGTGGAGTCCAGAATCAACACATTTTCTGTTATACCTCACAGTTGCACTTCCTAGTAGCTATTTAAATAGGGAACTTTCTTAGCAACTGTTGAGCACCACGCACGGTTCTCTGACCCAATCATGACACTAAACCACATCCTCTCTCTCTTCTGTTGGCGGCTTCAGCTGATGCTGATTGACTTTGGTTGCTCACCGGGGTTTGCCCTTCCCAGTTTGAGTTCTGTAAGTGATGGTGTGCCACATTTTCACTGTAATGAATTTTGCTCTTCTATAAGGAATATAGCTTAGTGGCAGTTCATAAGAGATTTAACATTTCTTGTTTTAAATATCTGATGTGCTATAATACTTGCAAAAAATCTTTTATTACGGCAACAGAAGAAAAACAAGGTGGCAATTTGAGGGGGGACGCCGTTAGCAAAATGACTAAAATACGTCCCTCCTAACCATCTGTCCCTCTCCTTACCAGGGGTCTGGACCCAGACATATAACCAATAAATTGTGTAGAATGATTGATTAAACTTTGACATCAGTTTCAATTTTCACATGCATAGTATTTGTAGCACTGGTTTCGCAACCAGAAATGTCACAAGTCATTTCATGTGATGCTACTTAGCCAAACAAATCTGTGTGTTCTGATGAGCATTGCGACCTGAGTGAGTTACACTCACGGGGGAGATGAGGTGACAGACAACAGTCGGACAAATAAGTGAGTCAGAGGAAATTATTTTCACGCTTATTCTATGGAGAGAAGAGTAGAAAGCAAAATCAGAACATTTAATCTAAAATGAACAGACTAGTACTGTACATGTTCTTCCCACGGGTAGTTCAATGTCTCATAATATGTTCTGAGACAGTGGTGATTATTAAATGGAGACAAAGCACAGAGCATCTTTTGAACAAGAGCACCTACCAAAATCCAAACTGAGGGCTCAGGAAATATTTTTTTTTATATCAATCAATCAGTCATTTTATATGTAGCATGAAATCATTTAAGGTAGAACTTAAACACACACATCCTTTACCAGTGATTTGCATTAGTTAGCAATAAAAGCCACAATTTCTGAACATTTAAGATAAAGCGCACCAGCTCCGAAAAACCCTCAAACTTTATCAGCATAAAACCCAAGGACAGGGCTGTCACAGTACAGGCCGAATGATTCGTATCTCCGAGAAGTGCAGAGCAGGAAAACCATCACAATGAACGTTTTTTATCTTTCCTGATGCAGCCAGTATAAAACTTGTGAATTATCATTTGAAATAAAGATGAAATTCTCTAGGAGGGCTTTATTAGTTTTTTAATTTTGATTTAATTTTTTTTTTCAGATTTCCCGTCTTAGTGCTCCAGTAGAGTGGAGAATATAATCATTATATTTAGCAAGTCAGAGAGAAGTCCTATCATAATGAACTATTCATATCTACTAATTTGCAACTCTGATACCCATTGTGCTCAAGTACAAGAAAATGAGCGGAGGAACAGTGATCAGCTCCTCTGCACTCTTATGTTCTTTCTTTCTATCTTTCTTTATGTCTATCTGTGTGTGTATCTGTAATGATCTAAATGTTTGCCCGTCATTGTGTTACTATGGAAATTCACACATTGGAATTTAAAGCCGGAGAGGCGATGTTCAAATGTAGAACTTCAAAGTATGACATGTGGCAACAACTAAAAGATAAATAAGACACGCACACAGAATAATCTCACTTCCTCATTTCCAGGACTGATTAAATGACCCCTTTGTATATTTGCCCTTGGGCAGAGTTCACATGCTCACAGGGTCAGAATTGACTCAGTCACACTCTCCACACCCACAGACCGATGAATTTTCGACACTAAAGAGAGAATTCCAAAATGACGAAGACCTTGTTTCCCCATAACTGAACTGACAAACACTCAGGGCAGGAACAGATGCTGTGAGTCTGCTGAAGACAGAGGTCACGTGTCAGTAACCACACACACACACACACACACACACACACACTGCTTCCCGATCTATATCTTTTACTTTTTCCTGTCTTTGCATTGAAATGCTAAAAATTATAACTCTAAAAAGCAGGAATTGCTCCACCCTCTAATATCAACAAGTGATTTAAGCAACATTTTATTTAGTTGTGCTGGTAATTAAGTAAAGCGTTTATTAAATATTTCACAAATATTGAATGAATGTAACTCATGTGTGATTTCTTTTCCTCTGATATTCTTGTTTGGCTGCTGAAATGCACACCAGCAAATCAATGCAGACTTAGAGCAAATATTGAGCCAAACTTAATTACGCTGTCATGCCACAAACACAGCTGGATGCACCATGTTTTCACGCACACAACTCATTCAAATTCAAATGTGGTGACAAATTAAATATATTTCAGCAAGTTTAAAGTAGGAAATTATCAACTCACCTCAGTGCTGCTTTTCCTTCTCTGAGACGACTGCCCCCGCTACTCTGCTCTGCTCCCTGAGAGACGAGAGAACAACAGTCTCGCCCGTGAAGTGTGTGCGTAATGAGTGTGTAAGAGTGTGTGGGAAAGAGAGGAGAGAGAGAGAGAAAGCGAGGGAGCACCTCACACACAGCCCTCTCCCTCTCTTTCTCTTTCACTCTCTCTGCATCTCCTCCTATTATTCTTCTCTGTCTCTTCAGGGTAATTTGCTCCTGAAATTATTTTAATAGCTCCTCCATTCTCTTCACGCCTTCTAACTTGCATGTGCCAGCTGCTGCGATAAAGCAAAACTGTTGCCGTTGGCGACCGGCCTGTGTTACCTGAATAATCCAAGCAACCTGTTGCATTCAGGCCTAATGGAAGAGCTGGCAAATAAGTCAAGTTTGTAGTGGATAAAAACACAGAAAGACATGGTATTCATGCATGCACGCATCATTTCTTGTATTTCAGGATTTTTTTTTTCTTCTTTTCATGTCCCATGCTGACACAAATACCACATCTCTCTAAACTTTAAACAATTTAGTAATTCAGCGACTCTTTTGAGCTTCATGGATGGGTGGCTTTCGGATAAATCTATGAGAACTGGCACCAGTTGCACTGGTGTGATGTCAATGACCCGATAGGTCACAAGGATTTCTAAATCAATCTTTTCTATTTCTGGTGCAGCCTTTTACTCAGCCTTTGTATCTATTTTTCATGCGCTTTGGCCTCCGGTGTGGCTCCTTCATCCTTTCCAATGTGAATTCATCTTCTGGGCTGAAGGCTAACATTCATAAGTCATTATCACGTCTCTTTTCATAACTTTTGTCCGTTTTTGGCTCCATTTTTCTTATCGGTCTCATCTCCGTCTGTCTTTGGCTCTGTCTCTCTTTCTGTGGCCTTGTTCATATTTTAGCTGCTGCTTAATTTAATCTTTCTTTGTGTCTTTTTGTACCTTATTGTCTCTGTTATAGACTGTCCTTCTGCCCGCTGTCTCTTTTCATTCTTTCATCTGCATATCGCTTCATCTCTGCCTGTTCCATTTGTCACTTTTTTCTTTCCACACACCTTTCAAGCTCCACCCTTATTTCTCCTTGTGTCACAGCAACAAGGTTCCAGTTTTGTTCCACTACACTGAACTCTGCGATAACATATCTTTCTTTATCATTTTTTCTTTCTTCTGTCCTTCTCTCCTTCTTTCTTTATCCACCTGCCTGTCTTTCTCGCACTCTCCCTCTCAAAAGCACACAATGTCTGTCACTCATTTCCAAGCGTCACCTTCTCGCATGCACATACTTGTTAATGTTTCTGTGCTCACCTTTATTTTCTGTCCTTGTTAAATCCATAGTGTGTTGACAGCTCTCGTGTTTCCATAACAACATACCTTCTGATGTTTTTGAGCTGGCTGAGGTGACCTGACTGGCACTCCCACCTTTAGGTCAGCTGTGACATCAGTCATGTAAGTGATGTGTTTTGTAATTAACACCATAGTTGGGTGTTCCATGGCTTTGACGCCTTTGGGCCCCAGTGTTCCCATGCAAGGCAGGGTAAGGAAAGAGATCATTTATTTGAACTGGTAGTGTGAAAGAGGCAGTTGGCAGTGGTACCTCAAATTCCATTAGCATTGTGCTATAAATCTTTATTATGGGAAGTTAAACCACAGCTCCCAGTCTAGGTCAACAGTTTAAACTATGCTTATCTTGATAAGATAAGATGAGGTAATGCCAGGGGAATAAAACAAAAGCTGAAAAATGATTCAGCACTCTACCACCCTCTTTTGGATCTGCAAAGTAATGACATAATTATCAAGGAAATCATTCATTTGTTAGTCACAGGCAAACAGGCAAGACAAATTTAGCCAAATTTAGAAATCCCTTACTAATGCTACATATGATAATGGCGAAAAAAACTGTCTATATCCAAAAGCTTCTTGAATGAAGCCGGGCAAGTGGAATTTTAAAGCAATAAGCTAAATATAAATAAATATAACTAATATTTGTGTTTTGTGTTAAATATAAAATTAATTCTGATGGTAAAAAAATTTAAACTCACCGAACTTTAATGAAAAAAAAGACCTCTGTGGCAAACACACGTTTATGATACTTACATACTTACTTTGTTTAGCAAGACAATCCTCACAAATGAACACCGCTTTCATAGTTATTGAAGCCTAAATACAATTCTCAAAAGTAAAAAGCTAAATTATAGCTGCTGCACAGCGATGGGTCGGGTCCGGGCATTTTTAGGCAATTCTGAGCAACAAGCAGAAGAATTGGAAGACATTTAGGAATTTAGCAACACAATCTGCCTTTTGCATCAGCTGAGGCTTGAACTCACAACCTCTGAGACTAAGAATCAATTTCTATCTCACTGAGCTACTTAGTCAGTGACAATTCATGTGTAGCTTCAAAAATTGACTAAGCCAGACGTGCAGGTTTAGCAGCCGTCCATGCATGGAAAGGCAGATTTCAAACCACTGTAAAAAATTCAGTTATTAAGACAAAAATCTGAAAATACACATATTGCATCTAGACAGCATGGAGATGTTGCTAATTTGTAAATTTGTAACAATGATTGATTTGCTCCATAAGTGAAAAACTGATGTTTAAAATTGCCATTTTTACATTGACTCCAATTGTTCACATTAGAGCAAAATTCAAAATGCTGTCAAAAATTCAGTTTTTGAGATAAAATTCTGAAATTTGCCACACATCATCTATCATGACTCTAGAATTTTGTCATTTTTTTCATGAACATTGAAGATTTATTTAGCAAGAATTTGCATGTATATGTTTACAGTACCGTTTACAGTCAAACATTTTGATGCACTGTAGGCTCAATTTTTGATAAATCAAAAATCTGAGAAACATAGTTTGTGTAGGACAGTCTGAAGATGCTCTGTAGCAAGTTTGGTGTCAATTGAGCAAAAATTGTGGGAGGAGATAGGTTTAATAAGTTTTACAGTTTTTGAAAAAAAAAAACCAGAGTGATGAACTCCATAATTTAAATGTACAAAAGTCTCTTCAGTATTGGGGCTACAGTTTGATGAAAGTTGTGAAGTTGTAGCACATATGGTTGATTTGTTATGAATTTTCAAAGTTTTGAACTTTAGACGCTTGCTGTAGTGCCACCATCAGGACTATTGGCTTGAGTTTACAGCTGAGGATATCTGGCATGAGACTGGACCTTTGTGCAAAGTTTGGTGAGTTTTCACCCATGGGAAGTATGATTTCCTCAGAAGAAGAAGAAGAAGCAGAAGAAGCAGAAGAAGAAGAAGAAAGAAGACCTAGGATTACAATAGTGTCCTGGCAGCTTAGCTGCCCGGACCCTAATTAGGCTATATGACTTGCACCACCGTTGCATGACCAAACATAGCCACTTTTTAGCAACTGTCTTTTAAAAGACACATTGAAGCTTCAGAGTTCACAAGTGGGGTGTTTACTGACATATTTTATGTCATAGAACAAAACCTGAAAGTCCCTTAAGCTTGTGTTAACCACAGACCTTCTTTCAGGCATCTAACCAAAAACCCATTAAAAAACCCACTGACTGAGGGAATTGAGGAAACAGGAGTGCGAAAATGCTAACTCGTTTCTGGATTCTAGGACTTATTCCTTGGGCCTAGACCCACTTGGTACCCAGGCAGCCCTAGCATAACCCATATGAGGCCCACTTGAGTAGATCCATCTATGTGGGCATTTGGCATGGGGGCTGGAGGTTGTGAGTGGGGATATGCAATTTTATTTTATTTTTGTTTTGTATTTCCATGTTGCAATTCTTTATGACGCTAGCATGATGGAGCAAGCATGATGGTAGATGATTTTCATTTTTAGTTTTATAATAATTTATATTTTTCAATAGGGAGTGGGAATGTGTCATTGTCAGCAGTGAGTCAGCCATTTTAAGAGGATAAGGGTAAGAGAGGCACAAAGGCCAATGTTATGTATTTCATTTTGCGAGATAGGGGTAGATTAGTTATTCATGATTAGCAGATGTTTTGCTGGCAGTCAGTTCACACGACTTTGCTTGGGTATCTTCCTGCTGACTGTGTAGTTAGCGTTTATAAATCTGAAGTTCCTGTACCCTGCTGTTTCTATAAATGATTTGAAGTTTTTGAATTCCTGACAGGTATAGGCACTAACGCTAAACACCAGCTAGAGATGGAAGGCTTAAGTAATTTTCCTTTGTCAACAATATAGACCTGATAAATTCTCTTAACAATGGTATAATTATTTTTAACACATCTCTGGTCTTTAGTTATGTGAGAAATTATCTAAATATCCCCTTTGTTATTTCTGCTTGGTCCCCTGACATTGAATCCGGATCAGGAGTATTGGCATTTCCAAGGACCTTTCCAGATCCTGCTGACCTCTTGATCTCAGATTCTGTAACACTTTTGAGCAAATTATCTGATTTTAAAATCCTGCATCAGTACATTTTCAAATATCTCCAAATCTGTGACTTTGTAAAATCTCTTTTAAAGAAGAACAAGATCTGTCCAAAACTGCCAGCACTGAAAAATGCCATTGGCTCTGCATTGCCAAATCTCTCAAGGGAGTAGTCTCAAAGATTTATACTCATCTGCAGTGTTTTAATTCCTCAGTTTATGACTCCCTGAAGCTATTGAAGTGACACTATCTGGGGGTTACATTTAGTCCTGCTGATTGGACCAAGATTTGCAGTGGAATTCTTTTAAAAATGTACTTCAATTCTAAACATGAACAGAATTTGAAATTTGTCCGTCAGACTGTTTCCCCAACAACTCAAACCTCTGTGATAAATGTAAAACACACAAAGATACATTTATTCACCTGTCCTGGTCATGTGATCAAATCCAGACATTCTGGATCTATTCTGTGATTACTTCTAATGAGTTTATACAGTCTACTTCATTTTAAAGCTCACACACTACTCGACTACAGAGAACTAGCGACAATGAAAGCCCTCTGCTGCATCTCCTCACATTGCCTCAGGTTGCCTGTGTCTCAGCCAAAAAGTTGCACATGAACACACTGCAAAGACTACAGCTGATGGCCAGCAAGCACATACAGTACAGGCCAAAAGT